GGGTCCTCCGGAGGACCCGTCCTGCCGTTTTGGACACAGCCTTCATCTCTCGGCTGGCCTGGGAACGCTTTGGAGTTCCCCCGGAGGAGCTGGAAGAAGTGGCTGGGGAGAGGGAGGTCTGGGCCTCCCTTCTGAAGCTGCTGCCCCCGCGACCCGACCCCGGATAGGCGGAAGAAAATGAATGGATGGATGATTCTATATTTATCACTTGTGTAGCCATATTTGCCTTATTGTGTAAATTTGGAGTGACACATTGGTCAGGAAAGGCTTATTTGTTTGTTTGTTTGAACACAAGGAAAGAATGCACTGGTTTTAAAGTCACAATCATGAAAATAATGGGATTTAGTTCAATTTAAAACTGCACAATTAATTTTTAACGCATGGAAGAAGAGAAAAAAAATGTGTTTAGCTGTAATACCAAAGCCTGACCACAAGATGTCCTTATATTCCATTATTTAAATCTTGCAACCGGTTTTACGAACTGATGACAAGTGATTTGTTTTCCTTTATCAGTTTTATATAGTAAGAATAAATTATTATTTATGTATAATACATCAAATATTAAAATTCAGTAAACTACATAGTTGCTATGATTATTGCAATGTCATAAAACAGGATGACTGGTAAAAAAAAAAACCACTGTTTTCTCACAGAGTAGCTTGAGGATGTCTCAATTTCAAGAGTTAGTTCCATCTGACAATAAGACATGTTATCAGGCCATGTAACAAACAAACACTAATACTAAAATACTTTGTTAAGATAGGATCTAGAGTTTCCTAAAGGATACCATGACTTTAGAGCCTAGACGGTTTTCAGGCACATTTTCATCCAGATATTGCAAGCAAAGTTCATTTTATTTCCAACAATTCAAATACATGAGTCACCCAAAAGAAACTTAAATCAGAATGACTTGTTGTTAAAGTCCAGATGTTGCGAAAGGGGTTTTTTCTCTGATGCATTTCTAAGACTGTGAATCATCTCAGTGGTCGGATCAAGAGTCAACCTATAGCCTCTGAGTTAATATTGCAAATATGCAGTTTTACCTGGGAATTTTCTCCCTCCGTCACATGTCCTGCAGCTTTTCTGACGTGTGCTTTCAATTATACCACAGGTGAATACAACCTGAAAACTACTTGGTTTGTTTTATAATCTTTTCTTTCAGATGCTAAACTAAATGCGAAATTTCAATTGTACAATTTTAAGATTTAGGAACTTTAATCAGCTTTGTTTACCTTAGCAAAAATGTCGGTTTTTAAACTTAAGTAGAATAATCATTTGGTGATGTTTTTAATCTGACAAACAAACCTAATAGGAGTCTGAGTTGCATTTAAAAATTCTTACAATTTATTTGGACATGCATTATACAAAGTGAAATATTTTCTTATATATTTTTCAACCTATAATATGATAATCTTGTACTTGTAATTTAAAAATTAAGCGTCAATGATCCACGTTGAGAATTGCACTTGCGGCTCTCAGTCTTGCTCAGGATGAAAACAAAACATTTTTTTTCCGCCTTACAAATGTTTTGACGTCATTCATTGGTTATTTTGGTCTGTCAGTCAAATGTGGGCGGAGTCATCCGACAAACGAGACTTCCAGTAAAGTCCCCCCTCTCACATGCCGCTCAACGCAGAGTCAACAGGCTGGACGGGACGCGGACGGAACACCGTAACAACTGGATAACATCAACAAACCAGCTGTTCGGCAGTAGTTTTTTACTACTTCAACAACTTTACTCTCTTTTAAAGACCATTAGAAGCTCAGTTTTATAAGGGTTTTGACAGGTTTGTGCCGGCTTGGGATGTGACAGTCAGAGGAGGGTTTTTTGAGCTCAGGCGGAGCACTCCTCCTCCTCCTCCTCCTCCTCTCCCGGTCAGACTTTTTCTTGTTTGCAAACATTTCCCCGGCGAAGTTGCTACATTTTTGTGTTGTTGCGACCGGTTTGTCACTCTTTCATGTCCTAACGCCCCCTCTCAGTCCCCTCTCGACCATGGCGGAAGCGGCCCAGCAGCAGCAGCAGCCACACCTGGTGGATATCGACCCGGATTTCGAGCCCCTGTCGCGGCCCCGCTCGTGCACCTGGCCGCTGCCCCGGCCGGAGTTCGTGAACCCGGGCGACTCCAACACCTCCTCGCCGGTGCCCTCCGTGAAGCAGGAGCCCGGCGGCAACTCGGAGTTCATCAACAGCCTGAGCCTGCTGGAGGAGAAACCCGTCCTCCTGTGCGGCGAGTTCCAGTGCCAGGAGAACTGCGTCCACCAGCAAGCTCCACAGCATCACCACCAGCAACATCACCCGCATCAGCAGCAGCAGCAGCAGCAGCAGCAGGTGCCTCTTCTCTCCACACCGGTCGGCTCGTCGCCTTCGGCCGCCGCGGCCGCTGCAGCCGCCGCTGCCCAGAGGAAGAGCAGCTCCTCCCGGCGGAACGCCTGGGGGAACATGTCGTATGCAGACCTCATAACCAAAGCTATCGAGAGCTCTCCAGAGAGCAGGCTAACTTTATCCCAGATTTATGACTGGATGGTGAAGAGCGTGCCTTACTTCAAGGACAAGGGAGACAGCAACAGTTCCGCGGGCTGGAAGGTAGGTTTCTTCTGGTTTTGGCTCTTTTTTTTCTCTCCTGGAGGTCATTAAAGCTGCATGACATTAAAGGAAACCTCCATGTGATGTGATAAACCCACATTTCCAGGTGTGATGCATCCCCATCACTTCTCCTGATGTTGATATTGCAATGGTATTTGTAATTTTAACATGTCCAATGTTTTTTATCTTAAAATTTAAAACTTGCAAGCAAAATTTATCTACTACTATGTGCATATTCCTAAAGGAAAACAATAGTGATTTCCATGGAAGAGACGTTCGAGGTCAAAAAGTGACATTTTTTTGTGTATTACTCATTTGTTGAGTAATATGCAGGTAGGATTTGTTTTGTCGTCCTCTCATTGGTGTTTCGGTGCAGATTCACACTTATAAAGGTCTTCCATGTTTTGTTTACATGTTCAGGACTCAACCTGCTGAATGTAGGTCAGTCCGGCCTCCGTGTGGTTTATGGTAAACTGAGCTGCAGGCTTTGTTTCCATTGAGTGCGTACATGCATTTCAGAATTGAAAAAAAAAAAAAAAAGCCATAGATTTGGAAAACAACTGAAGCAAACTCTTTCAAAACGTGTCGTTTGATGTAACTAATTCAGCTTAACGTTTCTTATGTTTTGTATTAGAATTTCCAATGTGTGCCTTTGTTGTCAATTAAATAGTTGCTACAGCCTCCTAGGCTGTAGCAACTATTTAATTGACAACAAAGGTGGGGTCCTGAAAAGATTTTCTGAATTAATTACATTTTTGTCTTAGTTGTTACAAAGGAGTGAGGTTAGTGTGTTTAAAATGGATAAATGTAATATAAAAATATTGTTACCATGCCCATGTTTTGTTGACCTGATAAAAATGTTTATCCTCCAAAAACAGTTGTGGGCACAGGTCTCTGCTGCTGTTATTTTGTGGGTCAAAAGCTGAAAAGTTTGGAAACCACTGCACTTTGGTTTCCAAAGTTGGGCTTGGGACCCAATTATGGGTCATGAAGCACCTTGGATAATCTCCAGAAATCAATTTAAAGGGTAATAAAATAATTGCTGATGTAATAT